ATTTCTCACCCCCCTTCTCCTACTCCTACCCCCCTCCCCTTGTAACACCCCCTTCCCTTTTCCAACCCATTTTTCTTTCTCCCACCCCCCTCTCCTTGCCTACCCCCTTTATCTTTCTTTTTCTCCCCCCCCCCCCCCCCCCCCCCGTTATTCTCTCTCTTTCTCTCTCTAGTTTGCTCCATGTCTTTCCGCGCGTTTCTTACCATAATAAACTGAGTGTCACATAAAAGAAAGGAAAAAAAAGTGATAAGAACGGCGTACTCCCATTTTGTTGAACTAACTAGACGAGTATAAATTATGAGATTTCATTTTCCTCCGCTGGGTCGTCAGAGAAAAAGAGAGAGAGAGGGAGGGAGAGAGAGAGAATTATCTCTAATAGTCTCTGTCTCCTCTCATTTTCCATCATCATTATAATTATCAACATAATTAACAGTGTTTCTCTTTCGTTATAACCTCCTGTGTTTTTTTGTCTTTTCTATCCTACAACAAGCACTACAACTTCTACTATTACATCCGCAAATCTGTTAATAGATTTTAAAAAGGACCAAGCCTTATTGTTCAGACTAGTGACGAACAAGCAAGCAGGAGATAAATGAAAGACGCTTTGTGTCGTTTTTTTCCTCTGCAATGCTTTCTTTTTTCTCTCACGCATTGAGAAAGACATGTTTTGAAGCGGACGGATGAAAAACGGTCTGAGGATGTCTTGATAGTTTTGCTCTCGGAGAGGACGATGATGATGCTATGAATATATGTTGCAACTGTAATTGAATTGGAAGCTTGCGTTCGCACCAGAGTAAGCTGGATGAACATTGTCGACAGATGCAATACAGTATTGACCGAAACAGAATGATGCCTTAATCGAATTGGTCTTATCAACGACTATACGAAAATATTGAATATTTCTACTTGGTCTCAAGCTATTTTTCTTTTTTTAAGTTGCATACTACATTTATCAAGGAAATAATAAATGACAATATGCAGAAAAAAAGAATGAACAAAGATAGAAAATAAACATATCAAATTCTACTTTCTTACTTAATTATCAAAAAATAAACGTGCTTTTTAGTTATAAGTTACTGTATGCAATCAATTTAATAGCAAAAATCTAGACTTGGAAAATGCCTGCTAATTATTGATGTCTAATTGAATGTTCAGATAGTTTGATGATAAAGAAAAAAAACTTCATCTTCTTTAGAAAAAAAAAAACACCTTCGCATGTCGTTTATAAAATTGTCAAAAAGCAACGAAGAAAATACGTTGTATGCATGCTGTTAAAGAAAAAGAAAATGTAGTTTTATAATGAAAAATTCTTTTGCTCATGAAGATTCTTACGAGTAAAAACGAGAGATAAATTCCAACGACAGGATGTAAAAGAAAAAAAAAGACGATATTTGATATGTAACTAATTCAATGGTGTTACGATTAAGTTCAATGTTTAATTAAAATATTCTATTGATGAATTGGTAATAAATCTAGTCACTATTGAATTGTCAACTTTATTAGTCGAATGATCAACACCATAGCGATTAGTAATATAAAAAGAAAAAAACTAGCGGTTAGTTGGATGTTCAAGTATGGCTGTTCAATGAAAATGACTTGATTTTATGAATAGAAATTTAAACATTATAAATTTATTAGAATTTAATTTGATATGTATATCTAGTCTATCAAAATTTTATATGAAGAATATATTTCATTTGTCTGGACAATATATGATGCATATTGATAACTAAAAATTCTCAAGCATTTCAAAGTATTACATTTTGAAAACTTAGAAACGTAGTCATCATAGATTCAGACATGACTTTCAATTGTTTGTTGCTTGTTTAATGATTATTTCTATATTATTATCTTCTTCTTCGGTTTAGAAGTCATTGATCTTATGATTCAGTGGTTTAAATAATACATTTATTTGTTTGCTTTTCTTGAATCCGATTAACAATAAATTCTTACTCATATATGTGACTATCACTCTTATGAAAGAATTTTCAAAGGATATATAGGGAAGTACACGGGTAATAGTTGATTCATTTTCTATGTGTAGCATTTCTTTTGCTGAAAAGATCAATGACATTAGGCACTTATCAATGAAAAACAAGATTTCTACACCGATGTATTTTTTTTTCTTGCCAATAAAAATAGACAATAAGGAATTACCAATAGTGCTTTTTTTAAATAAGAGCATATACATTATTGGTTTTCTTTTAGTTTCTCAACTAGAATAAAAAATTTTATTATGAAGTCTTTCATGAATAACAAGTCAAAGTTGATCAGCAAATGTTCTACGAATAAAATATTGTTTCTAGAGAGGCATTTGTTCCATATTTTAACATACTTTAATATGTAATTCATTCCGATTGAAAAAATATGAATATATTTACACTTGAGTACTATTGATGACGCTCTTAATTTTTGTTGCCAAACAAGAAAATGAATAATAAATTTATTGCAAATAACTTGAAAAGTTCTTCCTTTTCGATAAAAATATTAATTAAAGACGTAATAAATGATTTTTCTTTTTCAAATAAATATCTATATAAACTATCATTTTTCAATGTAATTAAGGTCTATTGTCGTATTATTATAAAACAAATGAATTCGATTATTAGAATTATAAAATTTCATAAATTTAAGAAAAAAGAAGTGGTACTTTTATTTTAGATTAAAATTGCTCTTTTTTTCTGCTGAATAAAATAAATAGTATAACTAATTTCTCATGTAAATTTTATTTATTTAAATAATTGCTAGATTTATGATAATATACATAATTATTTCAATATGATGCAAACAAATTACACATTTTAGGAAGAAAATAACATCCATATTTTTCGTATGATTAGTCAAAAAAGTACAATGTAGAATTGGATATTTTCATGAAAAGGTATACACGAATAGAACAACTTTGCTCGATTTCATTTTTTTCATATAAGATGCAAAATAAATTTCGTTCTTTAAAGGTAATATTTCTAATCCAATTAATTATAACTTATTGAAGAGATGGAAGATCTCAATATTGAACAACTCATCTTCAGACTTATTACCGCTCCTTCCAATGACATACTTTGTGAAATGTCATATTTTCTTATTGAAGCACAAAGTTATGATTTTGATACATTGATTACTACATTATTTCATTCATTATTGACTCTGGAAAATTGGGCATGGGAGGTTTTAAGTAGAGATTCTCGACAATGGAATGATGATGAACAACAATATATTGATTTATTTCATAATATTTCATCTTTTAATAAAAAAATAATTTTAAGTCATAATGTTGTACATACAAAAGGATCTCTTCTTCTGCCAGCTCATACTGATATTGTTGATGGACTATTTGAACAATTTAAAAAACGAAATGGTGAAAATGAGCGTTTTTTATCAATAATCTACCTATGGTTTGATAATCTTTCATTGTTAATGTATGAACATATAGAATTTGCTTCAGTATCTATAATGGTTTATGTCAATGAACGTATTACATCTGATATTATAATGACTGATCAATTTAAAACTTATCTGAATGAATTACAAGATCCATGTCCGTTATTAACAATGAAACAAGTTTTTTATATTAAAACATGTTTATTTTTATTAGGCGGATATTTATGTTCGAAACCGTATGATTTTCTTTATAATGGACAGGAAATTGTAGGATATCTTGCTGAGGATTATACAAATATTATTCTCATTCATAGCCAAACAATAGTATCATGGAGTAAAGAATTACTTTCATGTATTACACATCTAATTGGCTTTATTACTGCTTGTCATTTGTGGATTGGTACCAACAAGGAGATTCTCAAAATGTTTGTGATTCCTGATAAAACTATATACGACTATATTGAATCATTAATTAATATTCTGAGCCATCAAACACTTCACGAACAAATTCATCCTCAATTGTTAAATGATGAATCAATACTTGTCGATAATATTCTCAAATTATTCAACTATTTAATAAACTTTCAAGATATAATAAATTTTTTTCGCTGTCAAAAGAATTTAGTTGATATATTTTTTAAATTTGATCTTATAAACAATGATCGATTCTATTTACGAATCTATAGTCTTCAATCTGCAATTCTTTCTGAAAAACAAATTAAAAAATCAAATATCGTTAATAACATAAATAAAATTTTCTTTTATTATCTTCAACAAGCATGGGAAAGTCCATTAAAAAAATATAACAAAATATCCATTGAAGAATTACTAGAAGGTAAATCTTAAATGAGTTTCATTTCTCTGTTTTTTTTATTTAGTTTTCATTAAAAGGTCTTTTGACTTTATCTAAATATGATATCACGAAAAATCCCATCGCTAATTCAGGTGAATTAAAACTTTTAATTGAAATATTGGATGAATATCCAATTATTTACGATATTCTATGGTCTTTATCATTTGATATTCGCATTCATGAAGAACTTCGTTCAAATCAAACATTGATAGATAAATTAGAAAGTAGCTATATGAATGAACAAATACAAAATATTATTTATGGAATACAATGGAATTTAAGTTTCAATAGCATACAAATCAATACTGATACTAATAAAGGAAAATTTGATATAATGATAAGTTATTCTCATGAAGATAAATCAATATGTACACAATTATACCATGAACTTATTCAAAATAATTTTAATGTATGGATTGATTTAAATGATAAACATCATAATATAATGGATACAATGGTTCAAGCTGTCGAACAATCTTCTATAATAATTATGTGTATAAGTAGACAATATAAACAAAGCAACTATTGTCGAGCTGAAGCACAATATGCTTTTAAAAGACAATTAAATATAATTCCAATATTAATTGATAATTATTATAAACCAGATGGTTGGCTTTTATTTCTTATTCGTGGTTTATTTCTTATAGATTTTACAAAATATGAATTTTCTCATGGAATACAAATCTTATTAGATAAATTAAAAACTCCACATATTACTGCTCTTAATACTCTTGTTGTACGTCAACCACCACAAAATGTTACTAATTTATCTTTATCAACATTGGATTCAACAGATATGTGCCAATGGACACCAAATGATGTTCAACAATGGTTAGTTAAAAATAATCTTTTACAAATGGCCGATCTTTTATCAGGTTTAAATGGTTCATATTTAATTCGTCTGAGTAAAGATATATCAAAGAATTCACCACAAGAAAATCTTAATTTCTTTCGAAAACATCCAATGAAAAAAACAAGAAAAGATGTTTCATTAATTGAAATTTCAAGATTACAAACTCTTATTGAAGAACAAATTCAAAAGCCTGCAACAGCGAAACGATGCAGTCCAAAATTGTGTTGTCGAATGATGTAAAACCTGTTGACTCTTATTTTTAATAAAAATCTTGTGAAATCGAAGAAGACTTTCATTTGATTGAGATCAATTCATAGAATAATTTAATTTTTTACGTCTCTTAACTGACTAGGAAACCTCTCCAGTCACCAAATCATTTTTCGACCGAGATTATGTTCATTTGATGGATGCTAGTGATTTATAGAATAATTAGTCTAGAATGGTTTGATTTTCAGAACCTTCGCTATTGAAATATCAAAATTTCACTGGTTTTTCCATCAAAAAGCTGTGATTCCTCTCAGGTTACATGAAAAATCGACTTTTGAGTTATTTCAGTGTCAAACCTTGCACAAAAAAGTTCTCAATGAAATTAGTACATTGGATAAGTTTTAGCTTTTTTAGTATCTCCTATCCTGAGATGTTCAGTATTCGATAGAGATCAGCAGGTCAAACTTTTTAGCTCCCAAACCCGAAAATATTTTTTATTTCTCCCCTATTTGGACCCCGATCATAAGAAATTTGTTTCGGGGTACCCGACCCCGAAAAGTCCTGATTCTTTCTCACAAATAACTGACATCTAATATGAGCGGAATTATGTTGACGGAGAAATGTAGACAAATTTTGATTGCAAGTTAGTCTAACGGAAAAAATTGTGGAAAAAAACAACGTATCCTTTCCTGCTCTTTCTCTCGTTCCCTTCTCTTCGTTTGTGTGTAAAAACGAAAAGATGATTTTAAAGTTGTTAACATGAAAACAATTCGAGGATGCTTATAAAGAAAACGAGATGATTCTGTTAAATACGCGAATGCTAGTAGATGAGGGTGTGGGCGTGCGCAAAGTATGGGTACGAGCTTCGGTATGATGTGTGGTAGGTTTTCTGTACAAGCACACGTACACTCAGTCGACTTACAGCCCTCACAATCACATCCATCGATATCCTCTTTTTCTGACTTTTTGTTAGCTTTTTAGTGAAGCTTTGAATTCTGACGATCAGATACCTTCGTCTTTAATTTTCGTTTGTTTACTCTTTAATTAACTGTAAAACTGCATAAATTTATGTTATAGAAAAAAATGTTTTCCGGGGAGTATTCTAAAATGTTTGGGGCCTCCGACCCCGGTTTCGGAAATGTTTTTCAGCTCCGATCCCCGCCACAACCCCGGCAGAGTTGAAGCGGAGGCTGAGGTTAGGATGTCCCCACTGATCTCTAATATTCGACATTCAATTATGTGTGAAAGCAAATTTTATTCATATATCTATATCCCCTAAAACAGAAATAATAGAAAAGCTAAAAGTTGCACAATCAACTAATCGCATTAAGAACTTTGTTCCTGCAAAGGTTAAATTTGAAATTTGAAAGCCGATTTGCACTTAATGTGAGGAAAATTACAGCTTTTTGTTGAAAACTTCACTAAAAATTTCAATATCTCAAGAACGCGAAGGTTTAGAAAACCACACAATTCTAGACTTCTCTATGGCTTATTGACACTCATCAAATGAACATCGTCTAGTTCGAAAACCGATTTGATACATGAAGAGGTTTCCTCGTGAGTTATCGATGTGTCTGATAAGAATGAAGAACAAAAACTCTTTTTCATTTTCAATCTAATAAAATACATATCACATTGTTAGTCATCTTATAGTTATTGATTTCAGGATGTTTTCAAATAATACAGATAAGAATTTAACTAGACAAGCATTATTTAGTAGTTCTGGATTGAAGACTAGTTGATCTTTCTTGTATAACTAGATCCACTTCCAAGAAATACTTTTCGAAACCACTAGATATAGTTGATATTGATTGAAGTGATCAAATTATATGAAAACAATCATTAATATCCAAAACAAAATGTCACTTGAGCTAACATATTATTTTACCAATAAATTGTAACGCTTTCTTGTCGTATTCGGGTCGTTGTCTATAGTTTATTCAAATGTCGAAGATGTTTATTTTCATCGTTTATGGAATAAATCTTACAATGGAAGGTGGCCAACTGGTAGTGAAGGAGATTAACCATGTTCGGGTCAAATGAAAGCTTTCACTGCCAAACTAACAAATTTTAAATATTACGTCCCCATAGCGTACCTAGAGCAAGTTACTTAAATTTCAATGTATGTGAAATTTAGGCATAAAAATGAATCAGGAAAGGCTTTCTCCACTATTGTAAGGACGAAACATAGTATTGCTGGGGCCGATTAGGAGTTTGGAGGAGCCCTCTTTCATATGGCCCGAACAACACTATGTTTTATTCTTACAATAGTGGAGAAAGCCTTTCCTGATTCATTTTTATGCCTAAATTTCACATACATTGAAATTTAAGTAACTTGCTCTAGGTACGCTATGGGGACGNCATGTTGATATTAGTGTGCAAAAATCTAATTATAATTATTGTGATTCTGAAAAAAATAATAAAATTAGTCGTTCTACAGCTACATCAAAGTGTATTATTCGTTGTAAGAAATTAATTAGTCACTTTTATCTTTAAAAAAGTCAATGAAAATATTAATATGCTCTTAAGAATGTATAAGTCGACAAATAATTCAAAAAGAGTATGCACAAGTGAAACATATACATTTTATGATGATGTATTCAGAATTGTTAGAGGTTTGAGGCTATGCTGTGAAACATATCTGTTTGAATGTGTGAACAATCGCTCTCTTGTTTCTGATTCATTACAGACGTAATTAGCGATAGATTCAGCTGCTTCTTCAAATTCACCATGATTAAGTATTGATGAGTTGAAGTATTTTATTGAACTTGGGCCTAACTGATCATGTATCTCAACATATGGAGTCATTGCAATATTGAGCGATCGGATTTTTAATTAATTTGATCCCTCTCTCTAAACTTGTTTACATGACACGTGAATGTCTTCTATCCTAAGTTTTGAAAAAACCAAAACAAGGACAAACATGATGGGATAAGTGTAGAATCAGATTGGGAAGAAAACAAGAAGCTTTTAAGCTAGATGATTATCCATTCATAAAATATGGTATCGTAATGTAAAAGATCGACTATATTGTTTAATGTGTCGTTTAATAAGTCACGGTCCGGAAGCACTTTATGTTGATTCTACTTCAACATTTAATGAGTTACGACAATGGATTAAGACGGCAAGCAAAGATGGTAGATGTATTAAATATTTTCGATCAACTGCTCATATTTCTGCTGATCAGCATTGACAAATATTTAACGAAGAAGATTCACATAGCGATGTTCAACTGTTGTCAAGATAAGTCTTCATCATAGTTCTTTAGCGTTTGATTTCCAAAATCAGAATATTAATCATCATTGACGAGAATTATTTAAATTAAATCATTATACCATTTCGAGTCTTTTTCATGCGACGAAGTTCTTAGCACGTTTACCGTTAATGTTTCGTGCTAACATAGGATCCCAAGGTATAATATTCATATATTGAAGAAAAATAATCCTTGCTAAATAATATACTGAATTTTTTGTTTTGAGCAATTTCAATAAAATTGTTTCGTTAGTATGATGTCATAATAATACAAATGATCAATAGTAGAATGATACCTCTATAAGAATTTATTCAGTACGATATATTGAAATTGACTGATATCATGCAATATAAATTACTTAGGTAAAAAAAAGTACCGTCCGTATACAGTCGTTTACGGTGAAAATACGATAAGCAAACAGACTATATACTATCATAATGCTTGCTGCAGAAGTATGGTCGTGTCATAGTTAGAATACGGCGTATATACCATGGTATACAGCGAAAATACGGTTAGCTTACTGTCGTAAAGTTGTGATTTTTTCACGGTTTACTGACGGAATGCGGACCGTAAACGATATCCGTTTTGATCGATCTGGATAATGCAACTACGTCTACTTTTTCTTTGAATAACTCATTTAAGTAATGATGCTCACAACGACTTATATCAATAGTTGGTCAGGTTGTACATGGTTCGATTATCGATCGTTTAAATAGAAGTTTATTTTGACCTATGATGATTGACAGAACACCGGATACTTATTTCTCATAAAGACATTATGTCACTTATCGTTAGACTTGTTGATGAAGATCGTAAAGCAGAGGAACGCTTTTTATATAAAGAGTGTTTCATAATAACTGACGATAAATTGTTTTTTATATTTTTTATACTTTTTGCTAACCTAGAAAGCTGAAATTTTTATCACGTATATATCTAATCATCATCTTCCATTTGTGAAAGTTTCAGCTTTCTAGATAAAGTTAGTGGCGAAATGCGTCGACAAGATTGAAATACATAAATTTTCGTACTGAATATTTCAAGATAGTTCCGTGGGTAGTCAACCAAGAAATCACAAAGTATTCCGAAAATTTTCCTTCGCATCCAACTTTGTAGAACGTTTTTCACTGATCATTTTGGTAAAAAAATTTTTCGAATTTCATTAAGAAATGACAATCTTATAGCCAGAATATTTATCGTAAAAACAGAATATGTCAGATTTTTTTGATAGGAATATCGTATACAATGTTTAATTGAGATTTATTTATCCTATTCGTCTGTATCTAAGAAACCGATTATAGAGTTTTGTAGAGCAAAGTTTCCTCTACAAAACCTACTATGTCACATATCTCCAGAATATAACCATTTTAAGATATGTGAATCGACTTTTTCTTACATTTTACAGTGTTTAGTATTTTGTCTATAACATCGTCATTTCTCAATGAAATTCGAATTCTTTTTACCAAAATGATCAACGGAAAAAGCTCTACCAAGTTTGACACGAAAGAAAATTTTCTGAATACCTTGTCATTTTTTGATTGACTACTCACGGAACTACCTTGTACTATTTTCACAGTAAAAAGTATTGAAAAATCATTTTCGAAAATTTATGTATTTCAGTCTTATCGATGCATTGCACCACTAGTTTTAGCTAGAAAGCTGAACCTTTCATAAATGGGAGATGATGATTAGATATATATGTGATAAAAATTTCAGCTTTCTACGTTAGCAAAAAGTATAAAAAATATAAAAAACAATTTATCGTCAGTTATTATGAACCACC